TCTATCTATCTATCTATCTATCTATCTATCTATCTATCTATCTATCTATCTATCTATCTATCTATCTACCTATGGTTTTTGTTTTTATATTTTTCAAAATATTTGCATTATTGAATTTCTGATAAAAATACATCAAGATCTCTGCATTTTTTTCTAAAAAACATTCCCTTCTTTGAATTCAGCATATCTGTTTTATTATTGTATTTTATTCTGTAAGTTTTGGGATTTTAGCTTATATTTTTATTTTGTTTAGCTTTTACCTATCTTTCGTTTCTTTTTGCTTTTATGTGATGTTTTACTGTTTTCATCTCTTGGCCTTTTAGTATTTTTACCTATTGGCTTTGAGCTATTTTATTGTTTCATCTTTTAGCTAGAGTTCTTTTTCATTTTTAGTTTCTGAATAATGTTTAGTTGTTTTTACCTGTTCGCCATTGTTCTGCTACTATTAGTTTTTAGCTCTAGCATTAAATGTTCTCCTTATTTTAACTTTATCGACTCGCTTTCAGCTTCTTTCAGCAAACTTCAACAGTCCAGTTCATTTTATAAGAATATGCTGCTTTTGTTGCTGTCTAATGAAGAGAAAGTCACATTTTCTATAAAATACACTTGAATAGGATAATAAATTTCCTCAAAATATAGGTTATTTTATTGTATTCTAAAATCAGGAGGTGATCCTTCAAACCCTTGTTTATAAATGTAAAATTGTACACATTAACTGTTGAGGTATATTTTTTCTTTATCTTTCTTTTAAGATTTAGCAAGGGATTAGGTTCAGTTTTTCTTGAAAAATGCAGTCAAATTTAAGATTAATCCAGATTTTGCTCAAGGTGTCTTGCTCAGATTAAAAATGAATGATTGTTTCAGTGGTGTGCTTGCAGAAAGTACAAGCTGTATCAGTTTTTTTTACAGTATTTGGACTTTGCGATTATTTTATTATTTTTTGAAAGACTGTTTTTATTGTACATTTAATGTCGATTTTATTATAACCTAAATACAGAGAGGAATACCACAGCACTTATTGATTAACTAAGACTACACAAGTTTAATGAATTCCTTGGGAACAGCATGGGTTAATACATTGAAATGGAAGTTATTCAGAAATACTTCATAGAAATACACTTTACCAGAGTTAAAGTACATTTCTCTGTCCCATAAAGGAACAATGAGTGATTTATTTTTTACAGATTGTACTGTTAATGTTCCAAACAAACAAACAATCAAAAAAAATAGCTTAGTGAAGAGAGGAAAAAAAGAGTCTCTGACTGGAGTCTGACGAGTCTAAAGAGCTCCACTAAGAGGAATGTCTGATTTGGTTATAAAAATGGGATTTGGGATTATAGTTTCCGACACACTTTTTTTAACCAGCTAATCCTAAAGATACTGATTGAAAAGTTCAAGCTTTTACTGGTGAGAGTATTTCTATCTGGGCCAATAAGAAAGCCATTCTCTCCTCCAGGTGTCATCGCTCACACCTGCCAGCCAATCAGAAGTCGGCTCCTGGTCTCCTTATAGGCCTGTGGAGGCAGCAGGGGAGACGTTTGGAGCAAACAGTCAGGACAGGATGACCAGGAAATCACGGAACCAGGATGACGGAAAGAGTAGGAAAAGGGTAGGAAACTGTATTTTCCTTACTATTTCCATGAACGTGAACTGTTTAAGTCATATTAACCTCTGTTGATCAATGTTCTGATTAATAACTGATAATTGCAACGCTCTGCCGCTGAAGAGCCAGATGTTGGAATGCCAGGTTGAAGTCGTCATGAAGGTTGGTTTCAAAGGGGACCATCTGACCTCCTAAGAACAGATTGTTTGTTGGAACCCAGATTATTGTAGCTAGGAATGGTTATAATTTACCAGTAAGCATGGAGAGGTCAAGAACTGCAGGTGGACTTTGTCAAAGCCCAGAAACCTCCACTGTACCTGTTTGTAGATGTTGAAGCCAGTTGTGGAGAAGAAGAGAAGGGATCGAATAAATCATAGTCTGGCTGAGCTGAGACGTTTGCTGTTGTTTTCCACCTCTGATCCCGTGAGTCCAGTCAAAGCCATCATGTTGAACACTAAACTGCGTTCATAAACCTGTTTACAGTGAAGATCTGTGTTTCTCCCCCTCTTCCTCCTTTCAAATAAAAACGATTTGAACGACGACAGCGACTCCAGAACCCTAAAATAGAGAAAGCTGAGATTCTGGACTTGGCTGTGGAGTATCTGAAGAAGTGGACCGAAAGGAGGGACGTGAGAAACGGTCAGTCAGAGTTTGTGACTTTTCATGGGATTTTCTGTTGCTGCTTCACCCCATACTTTACCCCAGCTGTGTGTGTGTCTTTGCCCCACGCAGACCCTAACAGCCAGGCACCATGGAGGACCCTCGGGCCCACCGAGCCCAGCGCTCCACCTCTCCTCAGCATAGAGAGTGCAGGTTTCCAGCAGTGTGTGTCCCAGCTGTCCAGCTACATGCAGAAGATTACCCCGGCGCAGAGTGCCCACCTCATGGAGGGGTTGAAGTGCCGCTCAGAGACCAGCCGTCAGCCCAAACCAGCCGAGGCCCCTGACCCGGCACCTGTGGAGACCATCTGCCCGTCTGACAGCAGAGGAGACTCCCCCTGGTTTCTCTTCTCCTCCCACTCCCCCTTCCAGCCCCTCTCCTGCTCCACGCCGTGCCACGAGTACCTGTCACCCCCTCCCTCCCCCTGGTTCTCGCCGCCTTTCCCCACATACGGTGCCTCGCCTCCATTTCCGAGCTTGACCTGCCCCCTGGCCTTCCCCCCCAGCCTCTCACCTCCGTCCTCCTTCTTTAGTGTCTCGCCCAAACTTCCTCACACCGGCCCTGTTGGCCTCCACATCCCCCTGCTAACATCACTGAGCCATCCCCTGAACCCCCCACAGAGGGAGGAGTCTGCAGCAGACTCTGTCTCGACCATGTGGAGGCCCTGGATGAGATGAGAGATTAAAGAAACGAGTGTGGAGATGACTGCCCAGAGCGTACAGTGCATTTATACATATATATTTGTGATTCATACTGCCTTTTTTGTACCTTTTTAATTAACACAAATTAAATCATATACCTGAAGCAAATAAAGTCTCTTTTTATTGTTACTGTTGCTTTTTATTGGGTGAGATAGGAGCAAAACAAATCCAGCTGATTTTACTCGTTATTAGGATTTTAGAAATTAGGGCTCTCATAAAAAACATACAAAGTTAAGATGAACTCAGTCATCCTTATTATGATGGTTTGTTTGGAATCTGAAATACTGCATTTTCTTTCTACTTAAAGGCTGTTGTGATTTTAACACTCCTGCTTTCATTGGATCAAAATGACCCAAAACGGAGGCCTGCAGCAGGAGGGTCAGTGGGCTGATATGCTGCAGTGTATTTAATGATTGTCTGACAGTCTGAACAGGGCTGAGTGCTGTTGTTTAAAACATCTCCAGTACAAGATATTTTTAACGGCCTTTCCCAATCAGTAGCTACACACTCGTCCTACTCCCTATACACTACACTCGCTGTGATGCACCCTCGCAGCTGCACTGAGTCCCCTTGATGGTGCTATATATACCCTCCTCTTTGGAGACGGGCTACTGGAACAGGAAGCTGTCGTCACAATGGTAACAGTCCAAGCTCTGGCAGCGGTTGAATGCTGGTGAAAAAATGTCTTTTTTAATAGGACCAAAGAAAATATTTAATTAGGCCCACATTTTAGAGAGTTTTCAGATATGACTTTATTTTTAACAAATGCTGATAACTTGACAAAACAATTGCACTTTTAACATTTTTTAAATCATTTATTTAATTTTCTTTATTTTTTCTTTTTTAAATATGGACCAGAGTTCTGTGTCTTTAATAAAGTTTGACTTAAACTGAACAAACTGAACTTAAGTAGAAATTTTTGCTATCTGTACTGTACTTGGGTAAATATTTTTCAGCCTACTTTTTACTTCTACTCAAATTCAAATTCAATTCAAAAATACTTTATTGATCCCAGAGGGAAATTAGGTGTTGTTGTAACTCATTTAACTAAAAACTTATTGTAGATGTTGATGGCTGTGGGCAGGAAAGATCTTCTGTAGCGGTCTGTATTACAGCGAAGTTGAAGAAGCCTCTGACTGAAGACACTTTGTCTTTCTATGACAGTCTGATGAAGAGGATGGTCAGGGTTGTCCACAATGTTCTTGATTTTATGTAAAATCCTTCTTTGCACCATCATCTCCAGAGATTCCACAGTCGTCCCCAGAACAGAACCAGCCTTTTTTATCAGGTTGTTTAGCCTTTTTAGGTCCCTGGCTCTGATGCTGCTGCCCCAACAGATGATGGCAGAAGAGATGACGCTCTCAACAACAGACTTGTAGAAGATCTGCAGCATCTTGCTGCAGACATTGAAGGATCTCAGCTTCCTTAAGAAGTACAGTCTGCTCTGTCCTTTCTTGTAGACTGCTTCACTGTTGAGTCTCCAGTCCAGTCTTTTGACCAGATGAACACTGAGGTATTTATATTCCTCAACCATATCCACTTCTTCTCCCATGATGGAAAHAGGGTTTGATCTAGCACTATTTCTCCTGAAATCTACAATCATCTCCTGTGTTTTGTTCACATTCAAGATGAGATGATTGTTCCSACACCATGTCACAAAGCGGTCCACCAGCTCTCTGTACTCAGCTTCCTGTCCATCTCTGATACAYCCAACAAMTGCAGAGTCATCTGAGTATTTCTGTAGATGACAGCAGTCTGACTTGTGCTGGAAGTCTGAAGTGTACAGTGTGAACAGGAATGGTGAGAGTACAGTTCCCTGTGGTGCTCCTGTGCTGCTGACCACCTGGTTAGACACACAGTCCTTCAGTCTCACAAACTGTGGTCTGTCAGGTAGTCTTTGATCCAGGCGATTGTTGAGGCCTCCACCGGAGCCTTCTGGAGTTTCAGACAAAGCAACTCAGGCTGAATTGTGTTAAAAGCACTGGAGAAATCAAAGAACATGATCCTCACAGTGCTGCCTGCTTTGTACAGATGACAGTGGGTTTGTTGAAGCAGGTGTATGATGGCGTTGTCAACTCCAACTCCACGACGATAAGCAAACTGCAGGGGGTCCTGATGTGTGCTTGTTTGCTTGCACAGGTGGGTCAACAGGAGTCTCTCTAGGACCTTCATGATGTGGGATGTCAGGGCAACAGGTCTATAGTCAYTGAGGGCTGATGGGTGAGTTTTCTTTGGAACTGGAACCAGACAGGATGTCTTCCACAACAATGGCACCTTCTCCTGGGTCTCCTTCTCCTAAGGCTGAAGAGGTGTTGCAGAATCCCACAGAGCTGGTCTGCACAGGCCTTCAGGACTCTGGDRGTAACACCATCTGGACCTGCAGCCTTGTTCTGGTTCAGTCTCTCTAGCTGCCTCTTCACCTGACTTCTAGATACAGAAAAGTGGGAAGGGGAGGGAAAGGGAGCAGCAGCATCTCCTGATTTAGTTGAAGACAAACTTATGGATGTAGAAGAAAAGTCCATGACTGAGGTTGAAGATAAAACATCTGAGGTTTGACAGGACAGCTGTGGGTCAAAGGAGGGTGAGATGTCTGTTTGGCTGGGGGCAGGAGAGGAGGAAGATGAGCTTGTTCCTGAGCTGAACCTGTTGAAGAATGTGTTCAGCTCATTTGCTCTGTCCAGACTTCCATCCATCAAATTCTCCTTTTGCTTGAAACCTGTGATCTTCTTCATCCCTGACCACACATCTCTGATATTGTTCCTTTTCAGTTTACTCTCCAGCTTCTTTCGATAAACCTCCTTGCTGTCTCTGATCTCGACTTTGAGCTGCTTCTGTAAACTCCTCAATAACTCCCTGTCTCGATCCCTAAAGGCTCCTTTTTTTCTTGTTTAACAGTTGCTTTAGCTCACTGGTGATACAGGGTTTGTTATTAGGGAAGCATCTCACTGTTCTGCTGGGGATGGTGGTGTCCACACAGAAGTTTATATAGTCAGTCACACACTCAGTCATGGCATTTATGTCATCTCCATGTGGCTGGCAAAGAACAATCCAATCTGCAGCTTCAAAACATCCCTGTAGGGCTTCTTCAGCTTCCTGTGACCACTTTCTCACAGTCCTTGTAGTTACAGGTTGTCTCTGAACAAGTGGTTTATATTTTGAGCAGAGATAAACAAGGTTGTGATCTGAATTACCCAGAGGAGGTCTTGCATTGGCGATATAAGAATCCTTAACATTTGTGTAAAACAAATCCAATGTCTTGTTTTCTCTGGTAGAACAGCTGACAAACTGTTGAAATGTTGGCAGTGTAGCAGAGAGTGAGGCATGATTAAAATCACCAGATATTGTCACAAATGCACTGGGGTGTTGTGTCTGTATCTTAGCAACAACGGAATCTCCTTACATTTTCACATAATTATTTGTACTTTCTACTCCATACATTTTTTAAAAGATAAGAAGTAGAAAGTCGTTACTCCTATTTCATTACGGCTTGTTGTTAAAAAATATTATCCTCCTGGACAGAGTGAAATTATGATTTTATGAGGAGAAGTACAAATTGAAACCATTCTGATACTGTATTAGTATCAATTGACATGACATAAATCAAGTCACACTCCAGCAGGACATATAGCAGATATACCAGCAGATATACAGTATATACTGTATATTCTAAGAAACAAAATCATGATGTCACTGATAACATCATCATCATCGACATAAAGCAGCTAAAAGGTAACTTTTAGCTGCTTTGTTTATGCATTTCCATTGGAACAGACTGTGAAGTCACTGATGACATCATCATCATCATCATCAAAATTGCTAAAAAACTGAAATTGATAAAAAGTATAAAGAGTTAAGATTTCAAAAGTCATAAAAATTGGGGAAGGAGAAGGTTTCTTAGCTGTTCTTCAGCTAAAGTTATCAGCAAGAGGCATTCACACAAGCATTTTCACCACTTCTCCTTCCACAATTGTTGTGCTACTTAAACTATTCATGTATCAAAAGGTTCAGCTCATTCAGGACATTCCGGCAAATACTTCTGGCAACATAACTTTTTATACTTTTTTAGCAATCCCAATTTTTAAGCAGTTTTATTCCCATTGACTTTGAATGGGTACATTTTTTTTGGACAGCTTCTCCTTCCACAATTTTTATGCTACTTAAACCATTCATATAACAAAATGTTCAGTTCCTTCAGGACATTCTGGTTATGTTTATTGGTTTCTTAAATTTTTATGGTTGTTTTTTAGCTATGTGTGTGTGTGTGTGTGTGTGTGTGTGTGTGTGTGTGTGTGTGTGTGTGTGTGTGTGTGTGTGT